ATGAACACTGCTGTAGGAACCAGGCCTGGTTCTTTAGACTCACAAAAGCAAAGTGGACGTGAAGTTTCAGTGGCACAGCTTTCACAAGTACATGTTTAAACAGAACTACTGGGCTGACTTGCTAACGTGACAGCAGCTACCATGCTGGCCCAGGGCAAGAAACCGAAACGCCCTGGGCCCCACGATGCAGCAAATCCACCACAGAACCAGTTCACAGGGGAGATGAGTATCAGTCTCCGGTAAAATGTTCGCTTGTCCACCCTTAGAATTAAGAGAAAGGTGCCTGGGTGGAGACACCACAAAGGAATAACGAGTGCCGAGTTCAATGACGGGGAAATGCAAGTGTAAACAGTGTATAAATTAATGTAAAATACAGGCTACAAATAAATTTTGTCCAGAACGCTGTCACATGGCAATCTGAACTCAGATTATTTTTTTTTCCTATTAAGGAGAGGGAAATAAATTTAACATTTTAATGTGCAAAAACATTTACCGATAGCGAACTGATACATTTTACCATCTCACTGTAGTGTCTGAACAGCAAGGTAGATGAATTGGTTTCCAGCATTACAGGCAACACTAGATAATACTTAAACAAGATAATGTAAACTTTATTCTTAAGGCAGCTGGTACTAATGCTGCACACAGGCATTGCTCAATGCCCATTACAGTAATGGGACACGTAGCACTTGAAAACAAGTAAAAAGAAAATAGCATTATTGGACTAAATGACACATATTGTCAAAATACTTTCCCTTTCACACGAACCATGAAATATTTGGACATCTAGAAAAATAATGCACCTACTCCTCCAACTTCAGCCTGTTCTTTTACAAATATTTCAAAATACTGATAAATAATAGTGACTGCAAGAAGAATGCCAGTGCCGGACCCAATGGCTCCTAGAAAGTCGGCCAATACTGAAAGGGCACCAATGCACAAACCACCAAACGCAGCTGCTGTAGGGATATACCTGTGCCAACGGAAAAAAAGGTATTCATAATCATGACTCTTCATCCAAGGAGTCCCACAATGCATCTCCTACTAAACCAACTAGAATATTGAGCAATAAATTTAGCTTTGCAAATGCAACTCTGCCGTAGCCCTTAAAATCTCCCGTATTTGCACAAAGCAGAAACTAAAATAAGTACTTGCTGATGGGAGAGCTGAGTAACTGAACACTGGCAAAGCTTTTCAATTAAAAGTGTAACAATTTTATGTGTATATGTGCTATGGAACCTCCACAGGACCAAGAAAAACTGCTTTGACTTAGATACGTAGGGATAAATCTACCTTTCAATATAGATCTGCAGGCTTTGCATACTGCGTAAAATACCGCTTCTGTTGTGTCATCTTAGTTCAGTAACCGTAAATTAAACACCTGTAAAAACCAAGGGATCTTCCTGTTATAAACATGGAAGAGATTCAGCCCAAACTCCCTCATTATGCCACTTAAAGACACTACGGGTGAATCTCTCACCTACCCCTATAAACACCTTTTGCATTATTAGGAAAGGCGACAGCTGAACGGGAAGAATCTTGACATTTGCAGTGGAAACAGGTTCAGATTTTTCTGAGAATATCTGCTCTAGCTGACACCTCCCCAGCACTCTTAGCCATCCAGCTGGAAGTCTGCATTTCCTCACCTGTTAAGCTCATGAACCATCGAAGTATCCCTGTGGCCTCTCATCACCATTTGCTGTTCTTTGAGTTGCTTGGCAACCTGCAAAAACCAGAATTTTATGAAACTGCTGCAGTGTTTCACAGTCACCTGACAGTCAGAGCAATACCTGATCAGTCAGCAGTAGGCAGTTCTAAGTTAGAGGCAGTGTTTGAAAACATCGAGGCACGTTTATCGGAACACCTACGTCTTTCGCTGACGAGCCAGACACCTCAATCCAAGTCTTTGAGAAGAACGCGCAGGATCCCAACATAAATATTATATAAACTATTACATGGACAGGATCCTCGAATATTGCACCCATAGATTCTGGAGGGGACAAGTAGTAGCACAGGCCACCGACGGGATAGGAGCGAGCAGGGCCACCGCCACTGACATCCTATGAGAGGGGAAGAAAAAGGCAAGCAGTTATTTCTCACAGCTCTCTCACATTCTTATCCTGTATTTATAGGGGAACTCCTCTTCAGTGTTTGAAACAGCTCTTATGAACAAATGTTAAAAAGTAAGTATTCCAGTTTTCTGCTGGTTAAATACCAAAGTTCCGCAACAAAGTCATATATCCAAATAATTTTATATTAATCATTATTAAGAAGTGGTAAAATACTTACTGCCCACTGTCCTAGTAAGTTCACCAAGAAGTTGCCACTAAACCGAACAGACAACATCTGGGAAATGACGTAGAGGTTCGAAACTAAGGCAGACTGCAGAATGATGGGAATGTTGGAGGTATAAAAGAGCTTGATAGGATAGCTACTGTACTGCCCACGGTATCGCGCAGACTTGATAGGTAAATCAACACGAAACCCCTATGGGAAAGAACACAAATGCGCCAAGCTGATTTCCAAGATGGACGGTATTCCTAGTGTGCCTACAAGCTGTTCCTGACCATGGAGCTCCTGCTAGGAAAACAAGGAGTGCAAGGGCTGAGACAGGAAAACCCAAAGGCTTTCTGCTACAGCCTGGATTACAAATTTTAAGGAACTACAAGTGTTATTGCCTGCTTGTATCACATTCTTTTTACATAAACACGACCTCTCATCTGCTAAATGATGCTCCTCTAAAATACACCTTATAGGATAGGGGTTGATAAAAGCCTTTAATGGCTTTTAACTTAACCAGCCAGCCAACAGCAGGCTTTTGTGCAGCAAGCCCAGCCTTCCGTTTTCTGGGGCAGGCTCCTCTCCGAGTAGACCCAAGAAAAGCCACATGGCTTCGAAAACTAGAGAATTCAGGTTTTTTGCCAGCACTCTGACTCAACAGCTTAAAAAACAAAACACAACCCCCCCACACATTTTAGCCACACACGCGCAAAAAGAAAAAAACCCACCATATGGACGTCCTTTAGTGTCCATTTCACTGAACACTTAAAATTAAAAAGAAATACTAGCTAATTATTTCAAGAAAATTAGGGGAAAACCAGCAAGCTATGCATTAATCACACAGTTGTTTGCTAGAACAAATCTGTATCACGCGCCCCCCAAAGCAGCACAGTTCTTTAGCTCTACCCAAAGGTATTCTTTTAAGTTAACTATTACTACCAAGTATATTATTGGAAGATATACCAAGTATATCTGGAACCACGGCAGTTCCAGAATCCATTTTTAGTAAAAATACCCTCATAGCGTGTATGGCATTTAATGCGATGTGAGATCACATCACCGTCTGAGTACAAGTACGTCTGGCTGTAAAACTTCACAGTCAGACAGCTTTACTGTCACAGAGGGACGTTACTGAAATAAGAATATTGAAATAAGGAGAGTTTTGTCCTCAAAGCTGAGATACTTCAGTTACTCAAGTGTAACTTTTGCATTTTCTCCCAGTGACTCTACTCTCTGGGGTCCGTGCACTTCTACCTATTCAGAGCTGCTATGAGGAATTTCTCATTTTACCTGAAAATATATGACTACAGCAAATACAAATACTGTAGCAATCAGATTCATGAGGTTGGGCAAATTCTGTCGGTAGAAAGCTTCCCGCAAAGCCCGGACTTTGTCAGTTCGTGTAGCCAGAAGATGAAATAATGCAATCACAGCCCCCTCAAACTCTGTTCCTGCACAAAGCGAAAAAAATAAAGAAGAAATGTTAATCTGTGAATTAAAAACATGAAAAAAGATGGAAATTTTAAGAATGACACATATAAAATCAGATACAATAGGACATAAATCCTGTTACAACAAATGAATCACAATATGGGATTCTGTTTTAGCTTACAGAATGTAGAATAATCTGCCAAAACATTATTCCTGGGTAAAAAAAAAAACAAACCAAACCAAAACCAAACCCAAGTCACACACATCCGAACATACTCTTTCTTTTCTGAGGGCAGGAAGATGATTGGAAGGAAGAAATGATAAACGAGGAGAAAACTAGCTTTAGAAAAACACTAATAAAATGCAATAGACAGAACTACTAAAAATCAGGTGAAAATGAAAGAAAACTAAAGAGACAGCTCAGGATTTCAAATGTTATTATTTGAAATTAAACGAGTAAACTTGTTGATGCAAACAGGCTGTATCTTAACTTGGTATTTCAGGACAGGATGTCAAAGACAGGCTGAGGAATGAAGAGATGGCAGTCTCTGAAGAATCAAACTAGCTTGAAGTCATTTGGAGGCACCAACACAAAAGTATCCCATAGCCACCAACAACAGCTGGATCATAAACAACTCCGAACATGCAGAATTTCTTACCTTCTCTATTTCCATCAACTAAGTGATGCTAAACCAAGACTATTTCAGTTTGGAAATACAAAAATTTTCAGTCAAGCAGCTTTGAGTCCCATTTTAAACTACTGCAATTCAAATCAGCAAAGGCAAACTTGTAGGTTATTAATCTTCACGTAAGTCAGACATTTTCATCTGCCATGTCAGACAACCGACTTTAGAAGTTAATCATCACACATTAAAACATCTTTTTTTTTTTTTCCAATATCCATCTGGTAAACATTTGCTAGTTTATGTAACACTGAAACACGATGTAACTAATTGTAATCGCACACGTACCTCTGCCAGTATTGATGGTAGTGGGACTAAAAGCCTTCCAGACAATGGTTTCACAGATATTGGTAGCAATGAACAGGGAAATGCCAGACCCCAAGCCATAACCTTTCTGTAGCAACTCATCTAACAGCAACACAATCAAACCAGCAACAAACAGCTGCGGGAAAAGAAACAAAACTGAGCAGAAACAAGAATAAATCAAGTGAAGAATTATGTATTAATTCCCTGCTTCAGTGTTTTCATCATGGTGGAGAGTGATCGTTAAAGTTTTTCATCTAAATACCCTTAGTGCCGTATTTTTGCCCTCTCACGTACAACTGCCTGCGCATCTCACCTGGCACCGATCTCGGTGACTTTTCAACACTGACGCTAGCGAACAGATGACTCAGTAAGCACTTTTTTCTTTTCAAAAAAGCATTTAAGTTCGTGCATTTACTGCTTTGCTCTACAGGATAAAGTCTCCAAGCTGCATCTGCACTGTGGAGTGAGAAGTCCTGCAGGGTACTGAACAGCAGCTACTGCTTTCAAAGTCTACCAGTTCCTGTGTTTTGAATGAAACAGCCACTCCTATCTGAAACATTTTTGATATCAACTATTCCAACTTGCTCCTCCTTTATGGAATATTTAGACTTTCTCATGTATAGACAGATACAAAGGATGCTGCTTTATAGCATTAAAAATAAATAAATAAAAGGCAGACAAAGATTTTTCCTGTCAGCTCTACTGTATCTACGCAGTCTCAGTTAAACACAAAATAGCTCGTTACAAACCTGAATTATAATAAGAAGACAAATTCCAGCACCCATTTCGGCAGGATCTCCATACATTCCAGTCATAACATACACAATGGCTTGTCCAATGGTAATAATCATCCCAAATACTAAAACAAGAGAGAAAGCAAATCCTCTTAAAATCTGCTGAAATCACCTACAAAAGAGCTCTCACATCTACTATCACTTAGGCAGGCTGCTTTCCCCATAAAAATATGCTTATTAATTTTAACTGGAATAGTGCTTACATTTCTGAGCTCCATTGAACAAGGCTCTGTCTTTTGGAGTATCACCAACTTCAATGATCTTTGCTCCAGCTAGCAGCTGCATGATCAAACCAGATGTCACAATGGGTGAGATACCCAATTCCATCAAAGTTCCTAAACAAGAAGAAAAATTAACACAACTGCCATTCAAGCATCTCTCCTAAAGAATTATACTCTGAGGATATTAGGTCTCTTGAAAGGTTTCTGACCTATAAGGAGCATTTTTCGTAACGCTTCAAACATGTATATTCCAGTGCAAGTATAACCATAACAAAGACCATTATCTCCTCGCAGGCTGCTGTGTTAAAATCTGTAATTTGGAAAGCAGCATGAAAAAACAACGTGGCTTTTCACTCCCCAGTATTTTTGTGAAACCAGGCTAACACTAAAGGTCACGGCACACTGAAGCTGAGCTGTTTGGAACCTTTCACTGGAAAGTGTCTTGCCCCTGGTTGTTTACTCTGTCAGTGCTTCAACTGTCACATTTTCCAAAACTTTTAATTTTGAAGACCACAAGAAAGATGCTCTCTGAATCACCGACTCTAGTTAGGGGCGCAGAAGTTTAGGATTAAACTAGTTCTCAACAAAACAAACACATGCCATTAAGATGCTCTACTCTGCCAACTCATCTACTGGCGCAATGTCACCAAGGTAACAACTTCCAACTGTAAACAACTCGAACAGGGTGACAGGACTTCATAAAA